CGAAAGGAGGAGAGAAAAGAGATCGGGATCTCGATCGACGAACGGCACGGCGGTGAACTGGGGCAGCGAATCGAAGATGGTTGAGAAAAGGGATTTGGAGCCGGCTAGGGCTAGGGTTTGTTTGGTGGTTTGGAAGAGGTGGCCACCGACATTAATGGCGACGATGTTGGATTCAGGGTTTAATGGCAGTTGAATCGCACCGGAAGAAGAAGAAGACATGGAAGCAGCAGCGGAAGGGGGGGCGGCGGCGGATCGGAAAAATTTATCGGAGAAATTGGGGATTTTGAAACAGAGGGACGAAACTGTGATGAAGTTAACAAGTATTGTAGAACATGAAAGAAGCGACGTTGACGACGGTGGACGATCATAACATATTAACATATTTCAGAAAATGTTATAAAAAATTTAAAAAAAAAATAGTAAAGAGTATTTATATTTATAAGTTAAAAATGGTTAACATTATATCATGTTACAGTGATATTTTTCCTATTTTTTCTATTTTTTCAAATGCTATAAAAATTTTGATTTATCGATTATATCGATACATTTTTATAGATAAAAATAGTCACATGTCCACGAAAATTTAATATTCAAATCAGAAGGTTAAGAGATACTTTTAAAAAGTAAAAAATGCTATATTTTGTTTTGTTTTCCTCCTACTGCTATTCCTTTTCATTTTTCTAGATAGGTAAAAGTTTTAGTAACCTCCCCTAATTTTTATAATTTTTGTACAGGGTTAATTGATAAATTGAATATTTTTTTTAATTAGTAATAACTTACATGTGCATAAAATCATGATACATGATACCAAACATAAATTTGATTGATGATATTTTTATGGTATTTCAAACCAAATAAACATGAAAAAACAGTAATAAGCTTTTCTATAATAGTCCTCGCTGAAAAGAAATACAACTAAGATAAATATGTGAGATGATGGATAAAGGTTCTTTATATTAGAGTGGAATAAGTCTTTATTTACGTATTATAAATGATGAAAATGAGATGCATCAGAATAGAACTCCAAATTCAGGCATTAGATGCTAATCAAACTAATTGTCTAACGTGAATTTAACTCAACAATAATTGACACATGTCTCTTACTTTAGCAGTGAATTTAGTTTAGATTCAATTTTTTCACCCGATCAGTTCAATTTTCAAAAAATCAATTTCAAAATTGGTTTTCATAGACCCGAAAACAAACGCAAAATAGAGATTAGTGAATTAAAAAGAAGAAAACTTGACGAGTAGCTTTAAGGTCCAGCACTTGAAATACAAAGCAGCATTTTTCTACATGGGGATGAAGGGGTGATATTATTATTATTGTTACGAACCCATCTTCAATCCTTAGATCACTTTTTTCCCATGGCAGAAGATTGATTACATTTCAAACTGCTAAGCTTTTTGAGGCAATTTCAAACACATTTTCTGACAGTCCATTGGCAGACAATATCTTCTCCAGTTGTGCCTGCACATATATCATCGTCATTGTCATCGTCATATTTTTGCACACCCGAAATGATAACAAGATCTACTTCCAATCATAAAAAGCAACAATACCTTGGCAAGATTTTGTCGGTTTTCATCGTAACGCCTCCATCTTGAGAAGGCGGAGACCATTCGAGATGCCACCTAGAATCAAACCCATATATCAGAAAAGGAATGACGTAATAGGACTCAATTTGATCGATAATCGGTACTCCAATTCTACAATAGAGGAGAGTCCTGAACTCACCTGGGGATTAATTTTGTCTAGTTGCATGACAATCTCTCCCAAGAATTTATAACCAGATCCATCCTTTGCGTGAAAGTTAACGATAGATCCACAGAAACCTCCAATCAAAGAATATACCTTGTTTGGATTTCGTAGGTCGAATCCCGGGTGATTTAGGAGCTTCTGAACATTCTTAATATTACCAGGGATGTCTGATGTCGCTTGAAGAGCAAACCATTTATTGACAACCTAACAGGAACAATTATGTCATAAGAAGTTGAAGTAGAATTCCTAAGAATCGTAGACCTTTACAAACGGGTAGAAAACTAACCAAAAAGTCATGCTGCCACTTGGTATAGAAGTCAGCAAGAATCTCATCCCGAGTTTCACCCGGCTTCTGGGCTATCGCCGCCAAAGCTGCAAACTGGTCGGTCATATTCGAGGCATTCTTATACTCATGAAGCACAAGATTGGTAATCTCTGCATCCTCCACCAATGCAAGATATGCTGAAAGTGAAACCCATCAAAGAAAATGAAGATATTAGTCAACCCGAAATTTTACGGAGCCAGTACTTCCAAACATAAAATTAGTTCTGCCAAGCACACCGAGAGCAGTATTCTTCAAAGCACGCCTGGCCATCTCAGGATGGTTAAACACATATTCTTCTGAACTACTATTTTTTTCAACCTGTAAAGTCAAAGATAGATTTTATTTACTGAAGAAATGGATCAGACATCAGTACATTCATCTCTTTACTAAATTGCAGGTTTAGAGAAATCCGTACTGCAGTGAGAAATTCTGCTTTCAATGCACTGGCCAGTTGCTTCCTAATGAAAGTTCGAACGACGTGAACAGCATCGGGATCAGCAACCTCCATCATGTCCATTATTTCCCCTTCGCCAGGGAGAGTTATCGCTTTTGCAATGAATTCCTGGTTTAACAACAATGGTAATTAACTTTAGATAAGATCAGAGTATTCTCTCGATACCATCCAGAAACCCATCAAAAATTGGCATCATTATAAGAAGAGAAAATAAGGAAAATTTCAAAGAAACCAAAGAAAAAAGTAAGTGCCCGACATACTTTATCCAAGCTCGAGTCAGAAAGTATGGATCTCAGACCCTCCACAAACTTCGAGTTAAGAACCAATGGTTTATTTTGTTGATGATCAGCCACCAATTGAAGCATTAGTTTGCGTGCCAGCACTTGTCCAGCCTCCCAACTAATTCACAAGGAAGACCAGAAAATATGACCTTCAATAGTTCATTCTCCTGAATTAACCTTTCAAAAAATTCGATATAGACACAAACCGGTTGAACTCATCTGAATCATGGGCAAGAAGGAAAAATAGATCATCATCATTTAAATCTGTTTCCAGACGGACAGGAGCACTGTAACCCCTAAACAAAGATGGAACTGGCCGCTCAGGTATATCGGTGAAGACAAACTCTTCTTCTTTCTGCATGAAGCATAAGCAGGGGGGCTATGAATCTTTTTTTTTTTTGGATGAGAAACACATATTTCATTGATGATGGCTATGAATCTAATAGAAACCAAAAAGCTCAAATATATAGAAAGATAAAAAAGACAACAATCCCAAGTAGTTTGAGGTATTTGGAAAACAATATTTCGTTGATGAGATAAAACCACGGTTCAAAATATCGGCCGACACATCGACATGTCGACCCCCTCGACATGTCATATAGAGGGAAAAATCGATTTTCCCCTCTTATCGACGACATATCATTATATCAACGAAATATCGAAAATTTCTTGATATTTCGCCGACATTCGTCGATAAATTGAAAAAAAAATGTGCTGGTGCCAAGCCCAAAATTGGAGCCCAACCCAGCATTGTATTGATTGTGTGGGAGAGGGATGGGAGGGGAGTATTTATAGAGGATACTCCCTCCCCCCTTCACGTTCCCAGTCGATGTGGGATGCGTCAAACTTTGTCCCTCAAGTTCTTTTTTTTTTAATTTAAAATTGAATTCTTTTCTTCACTTTTATATTTCTATTCCACCTTCTCTTTTCCTTTCTTCCTTCTTTTCTATTTCCTCCTTTCTCTTTTTCTTTCTTTCTTTTTTTTTCTTTCTTTTTAAATTGCTCTAATATTTCTTTAAATTTTTTTAATAAATAAATTTTTATATTCTTTTACTAATATTTATTTTGAATATATTAAGTAATTTCTTTTTATCACCCCTTCCTCTATCTCTTATATTCTTATCAAAATCATGAAAAAAAATTTTAAATTTTATTATGTATGTTATTTGACATAAAAATATCATAATATTGATATTAAATGTCTGATTTAATTATGTAATTAAAAAATATATATGATTAGTCATTAATTTTCATTTTCTTGCTTTGATATTTCCATAGATGTCGACATTTTCAAAAGTAAATTACTCATTTTTTACCAATGATTATTAAAAGTGATTAGTTATAGGTTAATTAAGCTACCATTAAAGTAACATTTATTAATTTAAACAATTTCCATCAATTTTTATAATTTCCATAATTTTTCCCGAAATATCCGTCGACATCGACATATCCGTAAAATCGAGACCTCGACATTTTCATCGACATCGACATTTTGAACCTTGGATAAAATATACAAAAAGTTACATATGGTTACAAAAGGGGAGACACCAAACGAGGGTTATTCCAACTCATTCTCTTGAGTATTCTTACTCGAGCCTAAACCCACTAAACCATTCCTACCTTCCTCCCTTCCCCCTCACTCTATTTATAACAAATCCCTACTGACCAATTCCTTAGCTAACTGCTAGTATACCCCTACTATACTATTAATATTCTAATGGCCCCAAAGGCATTCCTATCAGAATCTGGAGCTGAGGCATCCAAATTCCTAAATCTCCAGTTCTTAGCACATCAAATCAGCAACTCAAAGCCTTTTGGACATTTGTGCTCTTGCTTGGTATCATGGTTCCCTTAGGGCGCCTTTTGTAATTACTCTTTAGGTAAGATTTCGCTAAATTTGAGCCTATTCATTTAGTTTGGCTCCCTTTTGTTGGGCTGTTTTTTTTTATTCCATTATTCCATTTTATAATATTGCATTCTTTCCCAGTGAAAGTTCAGTTTTTATTCTAAAAAAATAATAACAAAAATTCAGCAACTCAATCTTATTTAACCTGATGAAATGCATTTAAAAAATATAAAATAAATAAAAAAGAAAAAGGCAGGTGACAGTCTAAACTTCCTGGCGTTTTCAACTACCTTATGGGCCAAAAGATACTCACCATAGTGATACAAAGATCTAACAACCAACATAGTTATACCTTATAAGCAATTTAAAAATGAAGCGATCACTGAATAATGTAATTTCTTTGCTAACCTTGGTCAGCCTGAGGACTGTGGAGTACACTGGCTGATCAGCTGTAGACTGCAAAACTCCATCATGATATATAGAGGAAAGAGGCAAATTATTGCCAGATGAGTCTAGCAAACCAAGAGAAACAGGTATAAGCATTGGCTCTTTAACTGGCTGGCCAGGAGTTGGTGGGATATCTTGCCTGTGTGAGATTTTAACCACTTAGCATAACTTGTAACGAAAAAGATCGAGAATGTCACTCCGCAACAATGCCCATCAGATTATGTACCTGAACTTCAGAGTAAAAGTACGACCATTGGAATTGTAAGATGATGTAACTTTGATTTGAGGGGTCCCGGCTTGAGAGTACCTGTATTTTAGTTATATTTGAATAAGTACCATAAATTTGAATAGAAGAGAACTCAAATGAAGTAAGGTTGTTATAGACACCATAGTAAGAAGTTAGCAAAATCGGCATCATTTGCATCTCGCATGGCAGCATAGAAATCTTCACAGGTAACAGCTTGACCATCATGTCTCTTAAAGTAAAGATCCATGCCCTGAGATATGAACAATTCTGGTCTTGATAAAACAACTTCCTAAAGCTTAAGAGTTATCTACGCAAAAATATCCTTGGAGCACGAGAATTATATTATATCTTGAAATTTTCTGGACTGGAAAAACAAAAATTTTAAAGATCTAATATAATTCTGAGAAAAAATCTTAAGTATTTTCAACTCTTACTTTTCTAAATCCTTGACTTCCCAATAAGGTCTTGTACATCCTCACAACTTCAGCCCCCTAAGATAGCACGAAGACGTTAATTGTTTGTTATCGGTATTTCTTGACTCAGAGAGAAAGGGGGAACACTATGCTTAAATGCCAAACCTTTTCATAGACCTGCAAAGAGAAATCACAAATTAGGTGGTCTCTTCATACAAAATAAAAGAAAATGAGCTTAAAAGCATGGAAAGATTTGATGAAAAAGCCTACCGTCACTGCATGTTCAAGTTGGCAAACATCCATGTCAGATCATAACTTGATAGCAGGGTAAAAAAAAACCAGGGTTAACAAAATTCTACATCATGAAATTTTGAAGGAAGGAACCAAAATGGAAAGGAAAGAACAAACAAATAGCTAGTATTTCGATCAAACCCATAGAGAATGAAACTTTCCTGTATAAAAATTGTCCATCTGTAGAATGTTGGGATTTAACAGTTAGAACGTCTCTCAAAATGAAATAGACATAGATAGAGAGAAAAGAGGTTCACATAAATATAACCATTAACCTTGATATAGGAATGTGGTCGAACTGGATGAGCCATGGGACCGGCATCCTGCAGAATAAAAATGAAGGGACAAAATCAGCTTCAAATATTGATTTCTACATCAATTCAATTATCAATTGAAACTTTAGTAAATAGTTCGTGAGAGAAAATATAAGTATGATATATATGGGCATAAAGTTATGGAAATCTTAAGAGCAAATACATGAGGCAAACCTGAGGAAACTGATAGTTTCTAAGTCTTGAAACATCAGCAATTCGTTTTACAGCACGACTTCCCATGTCGGATGAAAATTCCTAGGAATGAGAGAAGTAACCAAAGGTCAGTGGTGGAGCAGAAAACAGCCTTAGGCTGGTTGTTTTATTAATGATCCAAACTGTACAAAAAGGGGAAGCCTAGCATTTATATAGGCTTAGCTTATGGGCCAATAGGCTTTAATTACAAAAATTGTTAACTAAAGTTAACCACAGCAACTAATTATAATCTCACACACACTATAAAATAAAACATTTAAACACCTAACAAAACTAAATCAATCAGTAAACTGTATTATCTAAAGTTCCAAATATTTCAATGGGGGTAAATGTCATACCTGATCACGGAAAACAGTAAGGCCTTCCTTTAGGCTCAGCTGGAACCAATCACGACATGTCACCCTTCATACATATTTATTTTGTCAGCAATAGTTTAAAACAGAGGACAAGCCTGGAATACATGCTCTCAGGAACAATATTTTTAAAGAAATCCTAAACATGAATATTAATAATGGATGCTGAAGATCATAATACAGAGGAATGGAACTAACACGCAGGATAGAAGAAATTATTTAATGAAAAGACACAAAAAATGATATTTAAATTTCAAGGTTGTAATGTTGTATTGGTTCATGAAATAACCTGTTGCCAGTCCAGTTGTGGAAATACTGCAAGACAATATAAAAAAAATAATGAGATCATTAAAACTCGGCTCCTGTATAAAAGAAAGATTCCCAGCTCTTAAATGACAAATTTTTTTATGACAAACCTCATGGCCAATCACTCCTAATATGGCAGCATAATCTGCATCAGTAGCAGTCTCTGGAGATGCCAAGACAAGTTTTGAATTGAAAATCTGTTTAAAAAAAAGGGGAAAAAGGAAACAGCATGAATATAGTTTTGAAATTCAGAACAGGTGCTTAATCACAAAAGAAACAAGTTTCGGAGACAATACATTCAAACTCTTGTTTTCCATTGCTCCCCTGATTAATGAAAAAGAGACCATCAGAATCTAAAATTAATAAGCAATGAGATACTTTTTTTATTGGGATAATAAACCAGGCTTTCATTGAAAAAAAATGAAAGCAGCAATACATTTTTAAATAGAAGTCCTCTAGACATGGTAAAACAGTGATAAAATGAACATAAACAAAAGCAAAAAACTACAAATAATAATAAGATTTAGAGAGCACACATGTTGAAATCTGGAACGGCCACAATGTTGAAGAGATCCAGATCATATTCTAGTCCAAAAACCTGTTTTTCAGCATATGAAAACAAATTGATATTGCATTCATGCACTACTGTATATCGTATGCATGCAAATGAAAATTCGGTTGACGTATGAAAATACTAACAGCTTCATCCCATTTCATAGCTGCCTCCAGAGAATACATGGCATGCATTGTCTTGGGGAAATCTTCGACTGGGGTCCAAATCCTTAAGGCTATTTTCCTGCCTGAACGAGTAATGAAAATATCATCCCGGCTAACCAAATTGCCAGCTACTAAAGCAAACAAGTAGCAGGGTTTCTTAAAGGGATCCTCCCAAAGGGCATAATGTCTTCCACCCTGCAGCAGAGAGTGCTTGTTGATGAGCATGTAACATAGGCATAATACAAAATGCTATCCAATTGAGTAAAATGAAGTTCACCTCTAAATTGCCCTGCTCTACAAGGTTCCCATTAGACAGCAGTACTGGATATAGTGACTTATCTGCTTCTATGCGACATGAGTACTTTGCCATTATATCAGGGCGGTCCTGTAGAACATTCATGGTTCATTAAGTTAATTGTATATCAGATGACTTCGATTACAGATCTATGAAAATCATTGAAAAAAACAAAGCTCCCCCACCTGGTAAAATGTGATCTTCCGGAAACCTTCAGCTTCACATTGTGTGCAGAAATTTCCAGTTGATTTATAGAGTCCCTTAATTCAAAGGAAAAGTCACAGTGAGGTCTAGAGTTGTGGTGCCAAGAAAAAGGAGAGACAGAGAGAAAGAATGAATGTATGTTTAACCTCTAAAGATGTATTGTTCTGAGGACATATCTCATTGACAATTTCCAAAGTAAATGAACCAGTTGGCGGTGATAGGATTGTCAAATGGCGGGAGTCCACAACATAAGCTTCCTCCTAAAATTTTGGGGGGATAATGGGATGAAATAAAAACAATAAGTCCATAGGAATGTAATATTGACAACTGCCACCTTTACATCACATATAATATAAACGACGACTAAATTCATTTGAGCAATTTGCATTGGCAATTGAAGATACACTGACAGTATGATGTGAGTAAAGAAACTTGTTCATGTTGTATGCGCTTAAGTATCCAGTATCTACCTTGAGGTTCTCACTGTTAATCTTAATTGAAATCAGCTTCATATCAGTCCCATCCAAAACCAGAGGGAAATTGGACCCTGCACCAGAAAGACCAAAAAGTAAAGAAACTATGTGAACATAGATAGTTTTTTCATTCAAGTTCACACGTGAAGAACTGCATAAAGGCAAAGATAACAACAATGCTTTACAGAATATTATTAGTACAGATACATGTAACTCGAGTACCTTCAACTCTGGGGAACACCGTTATTCTTGAACTGACTATTGTTTTCTCCTCACCCAACAAAAATTTCAAATCCACCTATAGAAAGTTTTCGTTTTACTCAATAGTAAAAGAAACTGCCACAATGAGAAAATTCAAATCAAAATTAAATTAAGGTTTGCATACCGTGTCAAAATAGTAATCAGGCATCTTGTAATCCTTCAAAAATATCTCTTTAGGTGTACCCATTTTGTTTTCTTCAGCTTTTTCTTGCAATGCTTCTGTTGCAACTGAACAAATCAGCTTCCTACTAGCTTGTTTAGCCCCCTGAAAAAATTTGGAGGGAAACATGCTTGGCTAAAATTTTGGAAAAAATCTACTATTACATTCTAAGTCAATAAAAAATTCAGTGGTTATACTTTCAACAGGAGACACTTGAATATTAAAAGCAAATAATTGAGGGGTGTAGGGAATGCATGCATGCAGTAGGAATGCAGAGGATGCTATGTCGATTTATAAGAGCTAACCAATGGGAAATGATATGGAAAGCGATAACTTGGTCCAGATTTCACCTGAAAAGAAAATAAAAACAAAATAAAGGAAATTTTTAAAAATGTTCTACACTTCTTACTTAAATCCTGAAATTTGAAACACATAAAGAATGAACAATGGATTCGGTAACATATCTCTTAATGATTAGTAAAAACCAAAAAACGCTGAAGAATGTGCAGGGACCTGTGAAGTAAATAAGTGCTTCTGTCCAGTGCTATGTTTGATCGAAATTCCAAATGAGTTAACACCACGGCGTGCAGCTCGAACCTGCAAAAAAGGAGCCCGATATGTTGGTAATTTGTTTTACAGACAAAAAATAAAAGTGCAAGTACATGCCTAACTTTCCCAATTTTAAGTTGAACTTTGGAATGCTGCCAACAAAAAAAAAGGGTACTTGATGGAGAATATCCTACTCAGATTGCATGAACTAATATGCAGAATTTTTATTCATTCAGGACATAACCCAAAAGCAGGAGGGCTATTTTGCATAAAGAAGGTAGAAAGTAAAGTGAGTTTGAGATGACCTTTAAGAGTAGTATTTTAGAGTGAATAAGCATGTTCTTACGAAAAAACTAAGTAAGTGTTTTCAATTCTTTATGATTTTCAAAATCATTTTTGACTAGGTAACCAAACAAACATAAAAATTTTGAAATTTTCTTTTACTTGGCTAAATTCTAAAAACATTCTTTACCATTCCAAAAATTCGTACCAAAATCACCCTTATAGCATGAGTCAGAATTGTAACATAAAACATAGCACAAAAGATCAAACCAACCATTTTTGCAACCTCAAATGATAAGGTAACTAAACATAGAAGAAAAAACAAAGTAATCGTTAGTGACATTCCCGTTTCTTGTTTCCTAGTTTCTAATAAATAAAAATATAATTGCATTTAGTAACCCGTTCTTGTTCTTTATTTTCTTTTATCGAAAATAAGGAAACTTTATTTTGTTGAAAACGAAAACAATAAAAAAGAAGCTTGATTTTATTGTTTTCTAGGTTTCAAAGAAATGAAGAAACCTAAATAGTTCTAAATAGTTGCCAAATGCTTAAGTTTCTCAATTGAAAACAAGAAAACGGGGACCCAAACCCAAAGTAGCTCATATAATAAAGACGATGATAACACGAACTTCCCTACTTTCTTAACCCAGCAGACATTTTCTCTACGAAAAGTGGATTAAAAGTACAAACGCGAAGAAACGAATGAAACAAACTGGGAAATGGGTAATCACAGGAGCAGATGAGATCAAACCCAAGAGGTTATTCCTTGCCAAGCCCACGCTCTTGCATGGTAGAACCAACCGGGCCATTCAGCTAAAACAATCCTGAACGATCTCTACTAATATCAGACGAGAGCTTAGCGAAAATAAGCGACACCCAGATATCAAAAACCAAAACCAATCCAAAATAGGGCCCCAAAACCCCTAGATCAAAAATACCCACAACAAGAAAGCAGAGCAAAACGACCCAGTTCGCTCTTATAAAGAGGATATAGGGATAACCCAAAATCTGGACAAAAAAAATTCACTGACGGAAAAAAGAAAGTGACATATATATATACACATAAGCATAAATTCGAAAATTAAGACCTTCGGATGAAATATTAGAGGAACCGAGCCTTGAGCAGTTATCTCCAATGATCGAAATGCAGAGAAACAGTGATCTTTCTCTCCACTGTGATACTTTCTTTTCTCCCTTCCGATAGCCCGCGATTGAACCAGCAACAAGATGCGGCGTCACAATCGGAGATACTTATAAGAAAATGAAGGAACGAGGAAAATTGACTCAATTGACTCGAAAAAGTTTCCATTTTGCTCAAATGACCTAAATTATAAAAATTGACTCAACTGACCCAGTATTAACTTTTCTTGACATTTCAGAGAGTCTGCAATTACGAATATACCCCCAAATGAATTGAACTACAACAAATCTGGCACAGAATCACCTAGGTTGGTGTAATTAAAACCATGGGCAAGTTCCACTTGATTCATGACCATGAATTTATTAAAATACCACCAACTTAATAATTCCCCACCAAATTTTTGTACTATCATTTATTATATACCCACACATTCTCACCGAGTGTAGAGGATAAAAGTATGTTTCAGTCCGTATTGTCCAAAAGCACATCTTTCACGTGGTTTTGAAGAACTTCCATACCTTTTCCAACATTTTTCACATCTTGAATCTATTAAAGGAAGTCAATTTTTCATCTATGACACCTTGAACGAGGTTAGTTTTTTATTGGTTCATAATATTGTTTTCGATTCGTCTAGAATATGATGTATTTAGTTGGAGTAAATGGAATTTCTGAATTTTTGTCAATATTTTTGTGGGTAAAAGAAGTTACGTAAGTCAATGATTCATGACCGTGTTTATTCGTTTAATGGCCGTGGTCAATGGTTTTATGATTAACGGTCGTGGTTTTAGGTCGATTGCATACAGATAACCTTGATCGGCTGACGACCATGGTCCATTTTATAAACCTGAAATACAAATACATTATTCAGCAAGCTAGAACCCAAACAAAGAAAGGAACATATGAAAGGAATGGATGAAAACCCAAACATAGAAAGGAACCGATGAAAACCAAAAAACAACATAATCTGTCCAAATTCATGGGCTTACCATGGCCTAGGTAGTGCAAATTCAAGAAGGATATTGATTCTGTCAAATTTCAAGGTCACGACCATGGCTGTGGTACGACCGTGAATTTGGACAGAACCAATGTCGTGGTACTCTTTTTCATGGTCGTAGTCAAGCAATCATTTTAACCAAGGCCAAAAACCACACCCGTGAAATTTGCGTTGAACCACGGCCGTTAACGCGCCCATTAAACCTTCCTTTTTCCACTGTAGAAAACCCACACAACGATAACAAACGCAGCAGAAAACGTTCAGCCCACACAAACCCATGCAAACACAACCGAAAACAGAAACCCCGAAGCCCTAAATCAAAATTTCAACCACAAACGTAAATCATAAACAAAAAACGCTGATTTCGAGCCCTACAAGTACCGAAAATACTAAATAGGCTGCCATGGAAGGAATTAATGGACGAATAACAAAAAAAATCGCAAATATAAGTAAAAAAAAAATATTTTCTTGCCATAAAAGGGACGCAAATACGAAATAAAATGTTCTAACCTCGAAGTTTCGGATATGGGAAGCGATTCAGAGCACAATATTGACTAGTAGAAAGTGAAACAGAGGAAATTGAGGGAGTGTAAATCGAATGGGCGAAAACGAAAACGGAAGAACAAAAAAGAAGATGGAATGAGAGATACGAATAGTTTGAATTTGAACTAAGGGGTATAATGGTCATTAAATTAACGGTCGTGGTACTCTTTTTCATGGTCGTGGTCAAGCAAACAATTTAACCACGGTCCAACCTAGCTCATTAGTTGTCTTTCATGAACAACACGGTCGTGGTACTAGTTTTCACGGCCATGGTCAAGCATTCATTTTAACCACGGTCCAACCTAGCCCATTAGTTGCCTTTCATTAACACCACGGCCGGGGTCCTATAGTTCACGGTCGTGGTGAAGCAAAAAATTTGTGTTACTTTTCTACTAACCAAGGTCAAACTAACAATAACCACGGTCAAAACCACAGTCGAACCTGCCCATTAATTTCCTTTCGTGTTAATTCGTTCGCGACTTCACTTACATTCCAGATTGAGGCTAAAATAGTAATTTAATCCTTCAATATTCTATTCAAAATATTAAATTGGGTCAGTTGAGTCAAATTTTTTAATTGAGGTCAGTTGAGCAAACAACAAACTTTTTTAGGTTATTCAGGTCAATTTTCCAAGGAATTAAAAGCTAAAAGATTTTTTTTCTTGTTTAATGAATTAAAACGCTGTAAGATGTATATTGGCCTGTTGTTATTGGTGGTAATCTTTTACAGTTTTTTCAAATCTTCAAAATAAAAAAGAAAAAAATATTGGCATTGAAAGCTTTTTTTGAAGTACAAACATGTTAGGATTAGATTTCAATTCCCAAACTTTTTAGACCTTAACTAATTGAGTCAGGTTTGATTTAATTGATTTAAAAACTTTTTTTAGTACATTAAAATAGATTTTTTATTTTAGGGAAAATTTTAAAATTTAAATTAACCCTACAAAATGGTTTTGAAGATTTTTTCTACTGAAAAAATATAAAAATCATGAAAAAAACCAATTTTTACTTGAACTTGGTAAAATATATCTATTTATATCCTAAACTTTCAATTTCATCCGATTGCATCTTAAGTCTTACCATTTTTACCTTAAACTTAAAAGGTATTACAATTTTGAATTTTGTTTGAAGGATTGATAATAAAAATAATCACACATGTAATTTTAAATTGTAAAATATATGTCTAATACAAAATTGATTGGATATTAAACAAAAATGATATTGTAGCTTTTTTTTTTGTTGAAATTTATGAAATTTTGTAAAGTTATTGAAGGATTGATTTTGTGCCTTGATCCAACCTTATATCATGCAAAGCCTACTTTATTTCAAATCAATAAACTTATTTTTAGATTTTTTAATTCTTTGTTATTAAAATTAATAGATGTAAACCAACATAAAGTTAGCTCAACTGATATATGTCTCTAATTAAAAAGTTATTATATTGTTGTATCGTGACACTAGTTGTACTTAAAAAAAACCATAAATTTATTATATTTATGCATAAGCAAAAGCATATTTGGTTGGAGATGTTATTCTCGGGCAGCAAGTCAAGCCAACCCCTTAATGGTCACCAGGTGGGTTTTTTTTTTTTTTTTTTTTTTTTAAAGGAAATGCCAGGTAGCTATTTATCTAGTGGATGGAAACTTCATTATTTTCAAATTATGTCATATGATGTGCATTTAAATTACATGTTTTTTTTGGCTCGTATTTAATTTAGTCTTTGTTTTCATTTATCTTTATGATTTTAAAATTTTCAATTTAACTTTTTAGTCTAATTAAATCTCACAAAACATCTCTATCATTAACCATATACCACCATACATAGACATGTTTACTGTTTATTATGGTAATGAAACTTGTGTGTGTGTTTTTTTTAATTTGGTTGAGTGTGTACTTACCTAAATATATTAGAGTTTAGATTTAAGTAACAAAAAATGAATCGATTTTATTTGGGTAAAAAGTGGACCAATAGTTTAATAATTATTTGTGACGTTAACCAAATCAAAAGAAGTAAATTGAAACTAAGTCCAAATCATATAGATTATATGGAAATTAAACTCGCCTCATATGGATCAATTTTGAATGAGAGTAGTATTCAAAAAAAATTTCTCTATGATTTTTTTCCTTTTGTTTTTAATATTTTTAGTTGATCAATTCGAGCATAGATAATTGGATAGATAAATGGATAAGACATATATTACCTACCAAATATTGATGTCTTGATCCCTCGCCCTAATATCGTTCAACTTAATTAAAAAATATTAATGATATTAGTGGAGCATGAAGTAATTTTTTATCGACATGAATATAGTTCAACTAGTGAATGCGTTACTCCTCTCTAAAAGTTAAAAATTTAAAATTTCCATTTGTTATTGAACTCCAAAATGAAATAGAAAGAACTTAAATAACAAATGTTTATGAAATATTTATGAAGTTAAATATGACTTTTTTTTAACAAAAAATAAAGCATCATATGAAAAATGGAGCGGTGAATTTGAAGTTATAACTGCAAGTAGCCATCCATACCATAACTGTAACGCCTCAAGTCTAAGATTCAAAATCTAGATTTGGCCATAATCGTCCCGACATTCCATTACATCCCTTACGATCTGTCTGCGTCATCGTCAAGTTCTGAGCTACTTAGAAGAAGTAAAAAAAATTGAGGATTGCTTCAAATCAAGCATGCTTAACTTTGGAGTTCTAACGATTGAGTTGTCGAAAAGGAATGTGCAACTTGTTAATATATACACAGTAACTATCAATTTTTTTTAAGTGTTTCTTGATCATTATTCCATAATCTTAGAATCCTTCTCATTCGAATGTAATATCGGTTACCCCTCCTCTCTACTCTCACAATAACAATGTTATATTTCTTGAAAATATTAAATTACGGTTCTAATATTTAAGTAAGACTTCATTGATCCGAATAATTATCTAGCAAAGTCAATCAATTAAATTTGTTTTTATATATCAATATAAACATAATTCAATTGACTCGATTCGATAAAAAATCATCCATTCGAATTTAGTTGTACTTATTTTTATATTAGCTAATTAAAATAATGGGGCAACATCGGCTTTGTCGACGTGGAGCAATAGTTTGTCTAAGTAATTAAAAAATTAAGATTTGGAACTAAAAATGATATGCACACATGATTAAAATGTAAAATTGGATATTTAAGGCATGTCCATAACATTTTGCATCTAATGAGAGTACAAATATTGCACACGATTCAATACCTAAGACAGGGGATTGGTGCGCGTTTCAATGAATATGTTTAATGAAAAAAAATAGAAAAATAAATGATTGGTGTACAATTTTATTGTTTTATTTCAGGATTCAGAAGTTTGGCTTCTTCAATCCAAGTGGTGTTCATGCATGCCAAGTGCTTAGCTTTGGATGCCATCTGACTTTCTCGTTTTCCCAATTGGTGCACGCTCGTAGACGAATCTGAACGTTTTGTAGCTTACGAAGCTAATCTGAACATAGCTCAGTAGATTAAGACACATGTATCCTTATCTAACCATGAGGGTTAAGAGTTTGAATTCTCA